CAGATAACCATTGTAGAGTAGATCCTGTACAGTTAAAATCTTGTAGTAGTGGGGGTATAGGTGAGATGATGAAGTTACAGCCTGTGGTTAATCCAGCACTCTTTACAGTGGCAGGCATTGAATTGGTATTCAATAATAAGGAGCCCCTTGAAATAATTAGTTCCTTATTGTTCAGTCACAGCTTCTTGTAATATTAAAGATTTTGGAAGGAGACTACTATTCTGAACATCTCTAATTTATTCAAGGCTAAATTTAAATTTACAGGCATATGTTTGCTATTCTGTAAAGTGTAGAGTTTAATAAAACTGTCTTTCATCCTTGTTTCTATCCTACATGGTTCACTTATTTGTGGAAGTGTGTTACTTTCTCTTCACTTCATCCACACACAATTTATAGTTTTGGATATGTGATAAAAAAAGAAGAGAAGAAGAAGAAGAGATTGGATTTATACCCCGCCCTTCACTCAGAGTCTCAGAGCGGTTTACAAACTCCTTTCCCTTCCCCTCCCCACAACAGACACCCTGTGAGGTGGGTGGGGCTGAGAGAACTCTGACACAAACTGCTCTTTTTCAAGGACGGCTGTGCCAGAGCTTGTGACTGACCCAAGGTCACATCAGCAGGTGCAAGTGGAGGAGTGGGGAATCAAACCCGGTTCTCCCAGATCAGAGTCCACGCGCTTAACCACTACACCAAACTGGCTCTCAAAATTCCTGTAAGGTAAAAATCATGATAATCTTGTACATTTCTTCATACTGATTCATTGCAGATACTTCTGGCCCTAGTTGCTGTTCTTTGTATCTTTTGTCATTTGACCACATTGTTAGGAACAATGATAAGAATTGGACTCTGTATTTCAAAAAGTGCCCAGCAGTTTTGTCTGTTCATGTTGTTTCAGTTCTGTTTGCTGCTTAAGCAATGAGATGTACAGAACTGATGAACTGAATTACCAGTAATGACTCCCAGTGTTTTTTCTTTGTGGTAATGGCTAACTTAAAACTGCATGTCGTATATGTATAATTCAGCAGTGATGATTCCTAGTGATTTTTATGTGGTGCCTACCAACTTTGAATTTTGTTCATTTAATAATTAATTGCACAAACATATAGGAAGGCTTCTGCTTTGCAGTTTTTATTCATGGTCCCTTGGAGATGCAGCTACCTACATTAGAGTTTCTCTAAAGGGAGTGATACATTAGAGAAAAAAACGTCTGGAATGCAATTTATACAACTTGCAGTCTTTTGAATTCATTACTTTAAACTTTCTTTCAATCGCTTCTGACACTTCACTAGTCACATCCTTCTAACAATAAGTAAATATGAAGTGTTAAACTTGGATGTGTTTAAAAGCTGTTGGGGAATGCTGCAGTTTTAGTTGACTATTCCCACCCCCTGCTTCTCTCCATATAAGTACTTAACCTGGACACTTTCCTGTAAAAGTACCATACTAACAATGTTACGCAATTCAGATTGATTTTTTTCATTATCCTTCAAATCTGTGTTTATAGGATGGGGACACTAATTTGGTTTCTATAATATACATTATGCAAGGGGCTCACTGATCTGTTCATTTTTGGACTTAACAATTTTGTCAGCTCTGCTTTCATGAAACTTGATATCTTTCCAGCCCTGCTGATAAATTAAGAGAGCAATACTAAACAGGTTTAGTCAGAATCCTGCTCAATAAGACTCTCAGGAAAGTTTTCTTGGGATTGCATTGTAAGTAACTTGCAGTTGTCTAGTGGTGGAAAGTGCTGTGAAGTCACAGCTGTTTAATGGTGACCCTGTGGCGTTTTCGAGACGGGATGTTCAGAGGTGGTTTGCCATTGCCTGCCTCTGCATCACAACCCTGGTATTCCTTGGAGGTCTTCAATCCAAATTACTAACCAGGGCCAACTCTGCTTGCTTAGCTTCCGAGATCTGATGAGATCAGGCTAGCCTGGGATATCCAGGTTAGGACAATTGTCTAGTACATATGCTGAATTTTCTAGTAGATTAATGTTTTCTAAGTCCTTTCAGACAGGTCAAAATGAATGTGGCTCAGTCTTTTGAGTTAAAAGTGAAATAACCTGTGAAGTCACTGAAAGTAATTGTGGGTGAATGGATGAATAAACGGGTTTGGATTTCCCTCCTGAAATGTAAGCATATTTCTGGAAAGTAGTTTTAACTTCTTGTGATAAAACTGGCCACTTACTGAATCATGTATTAGTCTGATCAGGTAATATAAACTGTATTGTTACTAGAGTAATTAGCTTGGTATCACAAGATGTTATAAGACTAAAACTCAGGAATGCTGATTCCGTAGAAATGACTAACTTTTCTTTATACAGACAGATTACTGGTTTATTGCCTAAGTGTGAGTCCAGTGGCACCTTTAAGACCAATGAACTTTTATTCTGGATATATGCTTTGGTGAGCATGCACACTTCTTCAGATACTGCACATGAAAGCTTATATGCAGAATAAAACTGTGTTGTTCTTAAAGGTGCCACTGGACTCAAACTTTGTTCTGCTGCTTCAGACTAACATGGTTACCAGTGTTCCCTCTAAGCTGAGTTAGTGTGAGCTAGCTCACAGTTTTTTAGCCTCCGGCTCACAGATTTTTGTCTTGGCTCAGGAAGGAGGGCTCCAGAACACACTAATTTATGCAGTAGCCAAATCACCTGCTCACAACTTTAATGCCAGTAGCTCACAAAGTAGAATTTTTGCTCACAGGACTCTACAGCTTAGAGGGAACATTGATGGTTACCCACCTGAATTTGGCTTATTGCCTGTAATAATGAGAGTTAAAGTAAACTAGGAAGCTTTTCATTCTTGAAGCTATCTTTTGGGGAAGATATTTGCAGATAGGTTTAATAAAACTATGCCTTTGTCTTAACAATGGTCTTTACTGTACCTTTTATCCAGAACTGGCACAAGGTCTTTGCTACCATATCCAAGCAACTTCACTTTCAGTGATCAAATTGGCCATGATACTATTTTCTCATTTTTCTTTTAATGGCCATTACCTCTATTTCCTTTCATTTAATTGTCTCTACTCACGGCAGTCAGAGCTCAGGAGTTATCTCTTGCATGCTCTGGAGTGCGGGAGCTGTCAAGCCAAGCAGTTAAACAGTCTCTCTGCATTTCCTTCAAAAGTGTACTAGTGTGTGAGAGTGTGTTTCCAAAAGACTTATATAGATGAGGTAGATGCATCTGGAGTTCTGCACTGCAAGCGGTTGCATGGTTTTACCCCTCTGGGCTAGTTCCAATTAGACCTAGTACCATTCATGACCACCAGCATTCACTATGGGATGCCCAGTAATCCTCCTGTATCTGAATTTAGTAGTGAAACTTCCTGACAGAGTGGTTCCTCAGTGGAACAAGCTTGCATCAGTGCTTAGGTCTTGTGGCCCTTTCTTACACGCCCAGATAAATGCTGATTGCCACTTTTGGGCCAGGAAGCAATTTATCTCCAGGCCAGTTTGACTGGAGATCCTGGAGGTTTTATATAATCTTCTGGGCATGGAACAGCAGTCACTGGGGGTGTGGGCGGGAGGTATTTGTGAATTTTCTGCATTGTGCAGGGGATTGGACTAGATGACCCTGGAGGTCCCTTCCAATTGTATGATTCTGTGATTCTATTCTATGATTCTATGGCATTTAATATAACTCATATAGGTTTATATTTCACCCGTTACTGAGGTTAGTGGAACTCACAACATACAGCTGTATAATATAGACATTCTGTGATTAAACAGAAGGTTTAGATACATTCGTTCACACACATCTTATGTTTCAGATTATTTCTTCCAAAGTTTGCATGTATGAATTCAGTTCAGTTAGAATTCTAGTTAATTGTTACAATTCAAATCAGAGTTTGTTCCCTATCCTGTGTGGGCTATATCTTTCATCAGCATTGCTTTTGCCTATTTTAGCCAGGCTTAGGTGTGATGTAGCTAAACAGATTTGCCTTTGCTTGTTACTATGTGACAGAATAGCTTTGGCAGAATTTAAGCAGTGTTACAAACTCGATATGTGATAGCCAATATTGTTGGTTCCTGCTGCCTGTCTCTTCCCTCTTTTCAGTCTAATATCTTCTTCAGAGCCGAATCTTCATTTCAGATGTTGAGTTCCCTCTTAATTCATGATGCACCCTTGTGCCTTTTATTTAATTGCATTCTTTCCAAGGTGAAATTTTAATTATATGCACAGTTACATGTTCGAAATAAGGGCTGCTTAGTGGGGTGAATATATTGACAAGGAAATATAAAGCAAGAGGGGGCAAAAGAGAATGTCTTGAAATCTGGGTGTGGGGGTGGATGGGGTTAAAACTGTGTTTTGTAAGCCCTAAACATTAAAATATTTACATGGAGTGCTTTCTTTTCAAGCCCCCATCAGATAGTGTGGTATAGTGCTTAGAGTGTAAGAACAGGATGCTGGAAATTCATACTGAAATCTCCATTCTGCTGTGTAGCTTGCTGTGTGGTCTTGTCGGCCACTCTTTCAACATAATATCACAGTGTGTGGGTAGAATGGAGGACAGAACAATGTACGCGTCCCTCAGCTCCTTGGAGGAAGTATGGAATAAAAATGGATTAAACAGATAATATTGCTTGTAAATGGCTACTTTCCCCCTCCAGTGTAAGCCCTGCTTCATTTTAAAAGGCAATTGAAATTTACAGGAAGAAAAGTTATGCACCACCAATATACTAGTGCAGACTACAATACTAGCCATACTTACTGGGGCACTAAATCCTATTTAGCCTAGTGTAAGTAAACATTTCCTAAAATTTCACTGATGTATTGGAAGTAACTTTCAAATGCCATGAGCATGTCTGCTACTTCTAGATTCTATTTTTAATACTTTATAAAACCTGAAATGGATTTTGAATATATAATTGATTTGGGATGAACTAAAAAGGTTATACACAGACTTCAATGGGAAGATGATGCCGTAGAAGAATGCTTCTTACTTTAAAGCTTTTGCTTCTTTGCTGAAATGTTTTTGTTTCTTCTCTCTAGTGGACCAACTACATCCATGGGTGGCAGGACCGATGGGTGGTCTTGAAAAACAACACTCTAAGCTACTACAAGTCTGAAGATGAAACAGAATATGGCTGTCGGGGTTCAATCTGTCTGAGTAAGGCTGTCATTACAGTAAGTTGCTTTATTTCTGGTTACACAATTGCTGTAGATATTGCATTTCTAAAGAATGCTAAATGTTGGCAAATACAGTCAAACCAGAGTAACTTTCTGTACAACCTTGTGTCAGAGTAGTATGGTAGGAAAATACTTCTGTAAGAAATTGGAGGTATTTTAAATGGGCCACAGCAAGGATAGAAAATCCTCCCCACCCCAATTTGGAAATTCTATATGTTTTGCCTGTGGGATAATACTTTGAGATACATAGCAATTTCATAATATTGATTCTGAAAAGACTTTGGCTGGAATCGAGAAAGATAAATTTGCATGTAACCAGAGCTTTGTATTTTTATTTCATGCAGCAGCAGTTGCCACTGTTAGGCACAAGCTGCTATTTAAAAAGTGGCTTCATTCTTTGGCAGTAGGAATGTTGCTCCAAAGATTGTTTTGAATCTGGCTTGATCATAGGTAACTTTATATTTTTATGCCTGTGAAGTGTTTTGAAAAAGTCATCTAACGCTAGGTGCATACCTTACCAGTATCTGCACAAGAGCCATTGTAGAATGGGTGCTCCCTGATAAAATTTCTGGAAATTTTAAAGCCAAGGGGGAAAAAATGTATTTTTTTAAAAAAACTGAAGGTTGTTGATGAGAGACTGAAATATATGCAGTGCTGACTTTCCTATCAGATCTATTAATTTACTGATTTAATACCTTAAAAGGCATCATTTATAACTAAGTTAGCAAGTAAAATATTACTATTGGGCTTGGTTAAGGAATTTAAAAGTATCAATGTCTTGGCTTTCTATAAGAAAAATTGGAAATATACCAATACTTGATAGAGAATTGCAGATTGCTGCCTATGCTATTATAGCACTTGTACCTTTGTTTTTGTCATCTGTGTGAGAGAGGGAGAAAAATGAAGTTAGAAAACAAATTCTGTAGTAAATTAAAGAAAATATATTATTTGGACAGAAACACTATCATATAATCATAATATATAGGACAACCAGCTTTTGGATATCAGGTCATACTTCGTCATTTAACACACTGAACTTTTTGATAATGTATTATTAAATGCATTTTTCTATATTAGTAGCCCAAATTATTTACATTTGAACAAAAAAATGAAAATTGTGTATATATCTACAGTATACCTAGGTATTATCGTACATAAAAAAATCTACTGCAAGTTTTAAGTTAAACTTTGTCTTAAAAATAGTTAACTCATCCCCAAAGTAAAAAAGGAAATTCCCCCCCCCCCGTGTTCTCCAAAACAAAACAAAAAAAGTGTTTTTCATGCCATATATTTTGAATGAGAAAAACTGTATTTTAAGAAACATTTCACTTATTCCAAAAATGAAACTACGTAGAGGGGAAGGGGACAAGAGCACCTCAGACCATCACACTGCGGGTCTGATCAAGATCCAGGTTCTCACAGCATTTTAAAAACCATTTTAAAATGGCAGTGGCATCCATGGGTCAGAAATGTGGACACTATCACATCTAATTTGGCCCTGAGTTTATGGATCCGCTTGGGAGCAGTCGTACAACAGTAGCTACTGCTACTGCTGGGTGTATATGAACTGACCATAATGTAGCAATGCTAGATAGATCTTTCTGTAAATGCCTTATGTCATTGCAATTGAAATGGAAAGACCAGACACTACAAAGGTCTATTTCACAGATTTGATGAATACGGGCTGTTTATCAGTAGGCAAGCTTAATGTAATTGCTTGCTATGGGGGTTAGCGCAGAACCTACTGTTCTTCAGAAGTTTTGGAAAATAGGTTTTGGAGACTATTTGTAGTTAGCTGGTTATCTACAATGTACTACCTTGATGCTGTGTAATTGAGACATTTTGGTACCATAAAATGAAATACAAGCAGCTTGCTGAAGCAAGTGGTCCATCTAGCCTAGCTTCCTGTTTCACAGCTAACAGCCATTGATGGATCTGTTCTCCATGAATTTGTAACAAAACAGGATTGCTCTGATTTACAGACCCTGTTCTGCCTGCTCCCTCCAATTCCTGGAGGGTGCTATTCCACTTCCTGCTACTAGGAGACGCTGCTACCACCCTCTCGGTTTAGAAGTCCTGAATGAGAGAAACAGGACTCTCAGTCCGAGGCCTGGCCTCAAGGTCTCTTGCTACCCAGTGTTTGGCTACTACGGGGACCAAATGCAACTGTGGTGGAGGGTTGGCATTGGCAACGGGTGCCTTGACTGCTTCCAATCTGGGAAATTAATAGCTTATCCAAGCAGTTGGATGACTATGTGGTACAGAAATTTAGGGCCACATCCATTATTAAACAGGATTTATTAAAAAGAAAGTAAGTTCAAGCACACTTAATCACAACAACAGATGAGCACATGGAAGAACAAAGAAAAGTTGGGTATAAACACATCCTTCTTTCCCTGGTTCTAAAGCTTACTCTAACTAGATGTCACAATCAGAGTACCTTCTGTCCCTAGTTCTAAAATTTACTCTAACTAGATGTCAGAATCAGAGTAGGTATGTACCAATTTAGACAGTTACAATTACACAAGATTCTAAAGATATCCCATTACCTCAGGCTCCCTGCAGCCAGCAGGCTAAGCCACGTGGCCCTTTCAAAGATGGCTGCTGGTTTGTCTGTTCCCTCCCCAGAGCCAGCACAAAGAAACCCTCCCTCGTTGGAGCAAGCACTTTTACTAAACCTCTGACTCCTATTTTACATCACTCTCTTCACCTCTTTTGACCTGGTCTGCCCAGGTCACACAGGTGGATCCTGGGACACGCAGGTTCATCCTGTGAGCCTGCCTGGAAGGCATTCTGGGAAATCTCCAGGAGTCACCTGGAGATTTCTAACACCAAATACCTCAGTAACCTTGCAAGTTGAGTAATTTGCATAACTATGGCTGATAATTGACCTAGCTTCCTGCCCTTCCAGAGGGAAGAGGGGGGGAAAAAACACAGGAGCACTTTAAAAACTCAGAGTGGGAGGGTTCTCCACACCCCTTTAGAAGGGTTGAATTCCACAAGGTAATTATTCTTTGGGTGAAAACATTACCTTGTTCTGTCTGTCCAAAATTTACTCCCTAATTTCTAGAGGTTGGCACGTCCAGAGAAGAGCTTGAGAAGCAGGCCCTCATATAGATTAAGGCAGTCTTTCAGATGGCCTGGCCCCAAACAGGCAGTAGGTGGATAGAGTTTAGCTATTTTAAGCTGATCAATAAATGAATCACTTTGTTACCTTGCCCAAAGTTTCTATTAGCTGTCTCATCTGGCCTGTTTGAAAGAGGAAACTTCCCTCCTAAAATATAATCATTGTATGTTGCTTCTTTTCTTTTTTGTTTACAGGTTCATGGTACAGAAGTTAGTTGTTGTTTTTTAACTTATGCAGTAACTTTATCTTATATTCTAGTAGCTACCTGGGGCCCCTATCTGTGGATAGCTAAATCCACAGATCAGGGCCACACGGAGGCTAACACATTTTCCAGCAAACCTGGCATGCCCCAAGTTTGCAGAAAAATCAGAAAATTAAAAAAAAAAATTAATGGGGGGGGGGGGGGTTAAATCCCATGAAAAGCAAAACAGTTTCCTCTGGTGGTCAAAGTTGCGGCACAGACTGGGGCTCTGGGCCCGGCGATAGCACAGGGTTTGGCAGGATTGGGGGGGGGGATGAGATTTCCCTCATGAGCTTTGTGGGGCCCCACTTGTATATTCTAATAGTAAAGTTAGCCAAATCTAAGGATCCGTAAATTCAGTGACCAGAGGAAGACAGGTCTTTCAGCAAATCTGGAAAGCACCCCAGGTTTGTAGGAAAATATGGTATTTAAAAACAATATATCGGAGGGTTTTAAAAAGACTTAAATGATAAAAGGCGTGCAAGTAGCTTTAAGAAATGGATTCCCTCAGTGGCTATTGCTTTGCAATCACAGCATTCCATGTTGAGTTTCTGTGAGTAAAAGACAGGGGGAGGGTCCTTTCCTAAGCTGTTTTGACCTTTGAGCAAAGACTTATCAGGGAGAGGCCTGGGCTGGACAGCAGTCAATCAGTGATGATACCACCCACCTTGCATGACTCAACTAGGCTGGACTGCTTACTACTGTTCAACAGCAGCAACCCTATGAAAGCTAGTGTGATGTCACGGTTAGAGCATCAGAGTAGGGTCTGGGAAACTCAGGTTCGAATCCCCATCTTGCTGTGGAAGTTCAGCGGGTGATTTTGTGATAGTCACATATTTTCATCCTAACTTACCTCACAGGATTGTTGTGAGGAGAGAAAAATGAAAGGTGCTATGGTCCTCATTGAGAAGAAATGTGGGGTATAAATGAAGTAAATAAATAGTAAGTAGCAGAAGATGGGATGCAGATAAAAGATGGGTTGGTGAATGGCTAAGAAGGATACAGGCCAGGAAAGGGGGAGGATATGGGGGTTGCGATATAGGGGGGTTGCCCATGGGGAGGAAAGAGGAAATAGTGTGGGGAGATGGATAAAAGGGAAAGTGAGATGCCACCCTACCACAAGTCCTTGAGGCTTCCCTACCATGCAGCCAGCACCACATGCATGGCCAGCACCACTCAACTGGGCCATAGCTATCCTAAGTAGAGCCTGCTGGGGAAGAGAGGAAAGACTGACAACAGAGGGGCAGACGAATGTAGGTTGGCTGTTGGGTGGGAAGGAGAGAAGGAAGCAGGAAAAGGCTTGAGGCTATGGGGGGTTTCAAGGAAGGGAAAGCGGAAATAGGGTTTTTTTTAGAGGAAATAGTGGGGGAAGGGGGAGATGAGATACCTCCCACAAGTCCTTGCAGGTTCCCACTTGTATATTCTAATAGCAAAGAGTGGCCTCATATGAGGATATTTACATCCAGAGACTGGAGCGATGCACAGACAAGACAGATCTTTTGACAAACCTGAAAAATGCCTCAGGTTTGCAGAAAAATCTGAAATCTAAAAAAAAACACACCCCAAAATGATGAAAGGAGTACCTATAGCTTTACTAAATACATGCCTTCAATGGCTGTTGCTAGGCAA